GGAGAAACCATGTGACGTGGCGGCAGCGCCAACAGGAATATTTGCCTGGAAGGGAGTAGGGGTGAGTGGGGCGGGGGACGCTTTCTGTTCCATTCAGAAGTCACAGGAAGCTACAAGGGATCGGCATGGTCAAGTCACTTTTCACTTTCCAAGTTCTTCCTTATAACCTGAGCCAAACTATTAAAATAATAATAATATGAGAATAATAATAATAATAATACTAAGTCCATTGCCCCTTCAACCAAGCAGGAGAATATCTAACAGGGAAGCAAGACCACCATTTACAGGGCTAAGTGGGACCTTCTTCCTGGCTCTTGAGAGCTTCCTGGGAACCCTGGGGTGCCTGGCCATGGGGCTGTGATGACAGCAGGGCAGAGGCCGAGGTGGCCACAGGGACAGTGACCCAACATAAAGAGGGACGGCAGCTCCAGAACTGGTTGAAATGAAACTAGAGAGCAAGGCGGAGCCCCTTCTCAGAGACTGTATATTTAGTTGTTGTTGTTTTTTTAAAGCCAATTTATATATCTCTAGTTTTTAAAAATATGGCTAAGCCCCAAAGACGATGACATAAAATTCATTTGGTTAATTACAGCAAAGGAGAAAACCAATCAGAGGAAAGTGAGAATTAGGAGGGGCGAGATGAGAACTATTTTACAATAACATTTCTAACAAAAAACTGGAATAAAAACAGACTACCAACAGAGTTCACAGGGAAAAAGGAAATGCATTAAAAAAACCCAAAACCCAAAACAATGCACAAACAGTTCCCTGGTCCCAGGTGTTTTGCAGTTTTCAAGATCTTATCTGCTAAAGGGATGCCCTTCAGCAGGTCCTCCTCCTCCCAAAACCAAAAAATGAACCAAAACTCTTAGGGGAACCCGCATTTTCCAGTCTGTTCCTGCATGACACTGGGGCCCTCCCTCCGAAGCGTCTCTCTTGCCTTTACAATATGATCTTCACTTTGATGGGTCTCAATGGCCCCCGCCTCCTCAGCAGCACTTACAATCCCTAGGAAGGAATGGGGCCCCCCCTGCCACTGACCTAGGCTTCAAATCTAAGTTTGACACAGTGTAGAAAGTAAACACATCCTTTTGCATTTATTTTGTGTTAAAGGAGAAAAGGAATAAATGACAGCAGATGTATGGAAAACCTGGCCAATGAATGCGGGCGGGCGTAGGGGTGTGTGACTCCTGCAAAACACCGATCAGAATACCGCCAGGGGCCCCAGAAACAGCAGCTGTACCTTCAGGGCCTCCCGAATCCCAGTGTCTCCTACTGCCTAGTGATTGAAAGTCAGTGGATCAGTTAATAAGTTAAACATTCAAATCAGGACAAAAATCAACGAACCAGGTATCTGTTCTCTCTGTCTCTTCCAAGGTGTCAAAGAGAAGGTTTTGAAGACAAGTGTTGATACCACATGGTATGAGGTCTTCACATCAGGCCCAGGCTGTGGACTTCACCTGGAAATCCTTTCACATTCTCTCGAGTTCACGTGGAAACCAATGACATGGCGGGAAATGCTGGTGCTGGGCTATACAACACAACCATATGGGGACAACACACCTGCCTTGGGGGGGAATGGCCTCCAACTACCGAGGCAATCGCTGGGGTTTGAAGATGTCAGCTATCAACAGAAATTTTCTTTAAAAAGTACCAGTTTAATTGTAAACTATAAAACACTTTAACTATAAAATGTAGCCAGAAATCTGCTTAAGTATCCACAGTCAATTATGTAGTTGACGCGTTTAAAATGTGACTCTCTCTCTCGGTATCTTAGAAGGCTAACACAGCATTTTACAGTAGCTAAAAACATATATGCTTAACATGTACATTTGAATATCACATTCTATAACACACAAAGTATAATGTCTGCCTTGGTTTAATTTGTGTTGTCAAGATTCGCTTTTTCAGAATTCACTTAAGCAACAGTGACCAGGGTGTGCATTAATCATTTTCAGCCCACACAGAGTTCATAGTCTGTTACATCCCAAGATCAAGCTGGCTACATGATTTCAAAAAAGGCTAAAACCAGGATGAATGCCCACATTTGAGGTAATTATTGCCATTAGGTCACAGTTTGTGTAAGATAATGTATCTAAAACCTTCTTTAAAAAAAAATCTTTAGGTGCTCTGTCAAAATTTCAGAACATCTAATGACACCAACCAGGATCTCAAATTCTGATTAGTTGGGTTTGCTTCCAATGGAGTTCAAGTTCTAGAAGATTCTAGAACTTCTGTAAACTACCTAAGAATTTAGGTAAACAAGCCTAGAGCCGGTCAATAAAAGACGTTGTTAAAATAAAAGAGAAACCAAAAAACAAAAAACAAAAAACCCAAAAACCCAAAAAAACCCACCCAAAACAACCAAGGAGATGTTTCATAACAAATAAGTTTTCTAAAAAATTAAAAAAATCTAGTCCTAAAGCATTTCTAAATTCTGTCACCTTTCAACAATAATAAAGATGCTTCTGTATTACTATTAATCCCATACTTCAGCAAGAGTCTGTCCTTCCTTAAGTCCTAAAAGTTGGCTGGCTTTCCTCAGTTTATACAACTATTGCTTTCCATTTCTTTGAGAAACCTATCTCAAAAGAAACCGTTATTTTGTTCCTCTTTCTAAAAGTCATCTTGTCTTACTCCTCTTTTTTTTTTTTTTTTTACACAACAAAAAAAGTTCCTGGACACCAGACCCACACACGGTATTTACAAATTTGGTGTGAATCCCGCACCTGGTTCTACCCAGAGCTGAAGGGTGGATTGATTACAGAGACCAGAGTTGTCATGATATTTATCAGTGCAGTAAAAAATAGCATTTTGAAAAAAATATATACCTTTAGTATTGCCTTTCTAGAATTAACTATAAGCAAGAAAAAATTATTATTTTTTTTTAAGAGAAGGAAAAGAACACTTTTTTTTTTCTTCACTCTCATAAGAGTCTGTTAGCAGCACTACTAAAGCTAGTTGGTACACTGGAAAGGAATCTAAAATGAATTCTACGTGAACCAGAAGAAACTCTCCTACGATTTTTCTTTAAAAAGTCACACTCATTCTGCCCTTTCTGCTGGCACCCCATTCGGGACTCCCTCTCCACACAGACCTTGTCGCGAGTTCCACGCACGAGCAGGGTTGGCACACGGAGACATTCCTTCAAGGCCTCTCTTTGTCAGGAGACAGCCGAGGCTGGTGGCTAGGAGCTCCGTCTGAGGCTGGGCAGACCCAAGTTCGAGGCCTGGCTCCCTTACTAGCTGCGTGCCCCTGGGCAGGTCACCAGCTCTCCAAGCCAGCCGGCTCATGTGTAAAAGACTCATAATATTGCTGATTTCCTAGGGTTTTTATGAAGACTAAATTAAACAATATGGTCCATGGACAAATTTTAGCACCGTGCTTGGTACACAGCCAACAGGAGTATCGTTAAATGGTTTGTCAGAAACAGGAAGCCGTGCGTTGCTAATTAAAACAGAAAATCATCTCTCAGTGAAGGCCTCATTAACAAAAATTTCACTGGAACTGTGGAGATTTCAGACCGTCATTACGTTTTCTTGCTACTCTCTTAGGGTGTCCGTTTCCTCATCATAAATGGGGTGACTCTGAGGGATGCATGAGGTCACCCTCACACAGGGCCTGGCACGGGGCCTGGCGTATCGAAAGCACTCAACAACTGTTGGCTATCACTTATTCGAGGGACACTGAAAGTTTCACCAAATAAGAGATAGTCAACATAATGTTCGAATGCAGGGGCTGAGATTAGGGGCTCTCAAAGGCTTGGGGGAGCCTCAGGAAGGTCCCGCTGGTACGGGTATCCTGAGAAAGTGTGCCCTGCCGAGGGTCACTTCTTTGGAAAGTCTCAGAGTCTGAAGGGAAAGACTGGCTCGGGGCTGGCTCTCCTGAACTTCTGAAAGCTGCAAGCAAGATGCTGAGAAGCCTCCACTAGGTTGGGTTTCCTCTACTGAGCAGTGGCACCAAAAACCTTCCAAAGGTTTCTATTGCATTTAAATGTCATTTCACCACCTTCAATTCTCTAGCAGCCTGACTAAGATTTTACAGCATCTAGTGGATAGAGATTAGACGTGAGCGTCCAAAGGCATCAAAGTGGACAAGCACTGACCCCCAAGCCCAGCTCCAGCGCGCACCTGAACACGACGCGGCCGCACTGCACGGCGACTCTGCTTCGGTCACACCCATGGTAACACGCGATCAGTGAAGCCCACACAGCCTCCCAATAGCAGCAGTGTTAGGGTTACAGTCTCCACTTCTCTTAAAAGATGAGTACAGTTTTGAAAGAAATGCAATAAAAAAAAAATACAAGTCAGGAGTAAGTGGAAAGAGAAGGATACTGAAAACTGATGTCATTATTGCCCAGAAAGGAAAGAGAGGGATGAACGCTATTTTGTCTGTATTTGGAGGTGTCTTTGAGAAAGGTTCTTTGGCTAACGAAAGGAACAGGTTCACCTTCCTTTCCAATTTGGTAAGGACTTCTCTGGCCTGCTCAATTTGGAGGGCTCCCCATCTGAACTCTGTAAGATTCACCAGAAAGAAAAGGCAGAGACAGGCCAGAAGCACGCAAAGGCCCTGGGGCTGGAATGCGTCACGGCAAAATCGCTTATGCTGGCGATGCAAAGGCCCAGGCGAGGCCTGCGGAACGGATCCTTGCCTCTCTGCTGAATTCTCTCGAGGGCTCCTGGTTATCTTCTTCTGTCCTAGCAACTACTGGGCAGGCCAGCAAGAGCCCCACAACCCCGCCGTGGCCCCAGCACCAGACAGAGAATCTGGAATGAAAGCTGGAGTCAGCCTGTGGATGCATCTCGCTTCATCAACCACAGCCCATCATTAATAAGCTCCTTAAGCCTCCTCATCTCCTTCCTCCAGTTTCCAAGAAAGTCTGCTCCACTCACGCACACACACTCACACAACCCAAATCCTCCGCCACAAGCTTGTTCAAAAATGAGTGTTTGCAATTCTAAAGGTCTGGTCAAGGGAAATCAGCCTGTTAGCAGCTGTGCTACGCTCTCCTTCCCTTCCTCACATCCAACAATCTGGTGTCCGGGCAGGTTGAGTCTTCCAGGGTGCAGAGGACAAGGCCAGCGGGCTCCCACAGCCTGCAAGCCACTCAGCCGCCAGTAAGGCCAGAATGCAAATACAGTCCAGGAGACAACCGTCGGTTTGCCTCAACCCTTCTTTGCCCTCAGAATTCCATCAGCCACATGCCCCACTTCACAGTAGTAACTGGCATCGAGCCTCAGACTCTCCCACCCATCGGCCTGCTCACCCCTTCCCTTGGAAACAGCTAAAACATCATGAAAGAGGCCCTAAGCGCAGAGACACGGGTGCGAACACCCAGACGGGTTGGCACCGACCCGCAGAGCAGAAGCCCATCAACCTTTGGTTCCTCGTGCTCCAAACCGTATGGCTCTCCTTGACCTGTCCTTGGAAATCTTCCCTTTACACTAAGGATGTTTCTTTAGCAAAGAAGGATGGAGCCAATTAAAGAACAGGTGATGCTCTAGGTTATTTGAGGGCTAATGAAAGACTAGGTTGGCATCCCTCTACGTGAGAGCTTGGTTCTAGGGATGGGCAGCCTTTTATTCATCCTGTTTGCCAGGGTGACGCAGGGTTGGAGGACAGGATGGGAGATTCAGGCAAGTGCTAACGAGCACATGCAGAGGCTGGCCTGTCTTACCGGGGGTTTCAAGCCCACAGCTCTGTGCCTGGGCCTGGAAGAGGAAGACAGGCGGGGACGAGGGGAGGGTGCACTCACGGTTGCGGGATTGGGGACCACGCGACATCTCCCTCTGTAAGCTGCTGCCTCCCTTTCAGCGAAGCCAGCCATTTCACCCCTTTCTTCATCTGGGGTCTGTCGTTTTCTGGGTTTGCTGGGCAGTGTGTGGACACCTCAAGCTGATTTAAAAAGCCCATCACACACAGTGCAGTGCACTGAGGGGTGCAGTTGGAGCCCAATGGGGATGGTCACGAGACCCCACTGTGCCCCTTTTTGGCCAATGATTTCAGGGGGGCTGCGGCCTGCAGGACCTTGTCAGTGTCCTCTGGCCTCCTACCATCCATCCTCCTCTTGTAGGCTCCTTAGTTTGTCCCTAGAATTGTGTGCTGAGAAGATGCTTTGGGGGCAAGGGGGAGACGGAAGAAGTGGGCAGTGTGGTTAGTGAGAGGAAGGCGGCCAAGTGAGGCTGAAATTGCCCAGGGGACGGTACCGCCTGCCTGGTACCCCTACGTCAGCTTATTACACCCAGTGGCTTCTAGGAGGGGACAACTGTCCCTGCTCTGAAGGATGTAAGCCACGTTCCTGGCGCATGGGACGGGAGATGGGAGGACATTTCGGAAAGGGGCTGGGTCAGCTCTGGGGAGAGGGTTTTTGTTTTTGTTTTGCTTGACAGGTAAAAAGCAGACGTGAGGCAGGCCAAGGGTGCAGTTAGCAGATTTCAGAAGCAAGGCGAGCACAGGGAATGCGGGAGAGGACCATGGCTCAGGGTTCAGCCCGGGAGATGCCTCTTCAGACCTCTTCCCAGGCCACTGAGAATCTAGGAAAGTACAATATTGGTGGTGCCTGTGTTGTCAATCTGGCCTGGACAGGGAAAAAGTCCCGGGTTTTTCAAACTTTTGTTCTGTGTTGGATCTTTCTTGACAGAGATGACAGAGATCACTTTCCTAATTCCTGGGTCTTTCCTTTTTTTTTTTCTGTCTGACAAAACCGTACATCCGTATGTCCCCCCGTCTACTCATATACTCACAGATATAATAAAATAAGTTTAAATATTAAAGAGAAAACACAAAGATACGTGGAATAAATGTGCATTTCAAACCCCAACTAAAATATCAACACGATGATAATAATGATAATAATCACAACGGTATGAACCAAAACAATTAGTACAATAATATTATCTTTATGAGCAGCATGGAACTTTCATTCCTGATCTGGAAGAAAAGGAAAGAAAATGTCAGGTCAAGGAGTGAGACTTCCAACTTAGTAGACGAAATTATTTTCTTTAAAATGGAAGGCTATGTTGTCTTTTCCCATAAAGGATCAGATGTAGAAAGGGTTGGAAGTGAACTGTGCAAATGGATCTAGGATGCTACCCACTAAGGCAAACAGAGGCTCATTTGCAGCCAAGACGTGTGTGACTGGGCATGAGAGGGTCTGGGGGGGGCGGGGCGGGGGCACTGCTGCCATCTGGCTGCCCAAAGTCTGGGGCGGACAGGATTTCCAGGCTGGCGTGGCCCCGGGAGGGCTCTGGCTCCTGTGTCCGTCTCCACTTGGCTCCCCCACCCTCTCTGTCTCAGAACGGCGGCACTTCCCCACTTCCGGACACAGACTATTGATCATGGCACCACGATAAAAGCATCTCGCCCCATCTTCTCCCACTGGGTACATGGGGGGCTGCCCAAGTGTGCTCCGCCTTGAGCGGGTCACAGTGTCCTTCCTTCCAGCCTAAGGCCTGGACTAAGCTGCTTCCAGTTTGGGGACAGAGTTCTTTGTAAGAGAAGTAGGACTTCTGGTCGGGGAGGGGACATTTCCAGAGTTATTTCACATTTCACAGCTAAGAGCTAAGGAAACGGTGTGGCTTCCTCACTGAATTAGGTCGGACATCACTATAAAAACACCTTTCACAGTAAATCATCAAGGGAGGCTGAGGAGTGAGGGAGGCAGCGGGAGAGGAGGCGGGGTGCCAAAATTGGGAGCCACCTCTTTGCACCCTGGAAACATGGCTTTGGGGTCAGTTAAGGACTCAGCATTAAGAATCAAACAATCAGGACCACCTTTTAAAGCCCCATCTAGGACCTGACAGTCTCCCAACCTTCATGTTGCTAAGCATCATTTACTGTGAATGGAGAGACCCTCCACCCAGCAGGTTCAAAGCCTGAGACAACTCCCAGAATATGTCAGCAGTGCGAGAGGGCAAAGGGTGTATTTCTTTGGAAACGTAACTGGCGGTGGGAGTGTTTTCCAAGGTGCAGTGTAAGACCCCCATCACCCTCATAAGTATCCCTCCAACCTTCTGCCCACCAGAGCCCTTGAAAACCAAAACAAAGTCATGCCGTGGGTAGATCTGGGTAATGTGAGGAAAGACTTGGCAGTGAACAAGGGTTGACGGTTTCTACAGAGGGAAGGATCTGGCAAGACTGAGGGCGCATCACGGCCAGGGAACAGAGGAGAGAGGGGCAGGGCTTACAGTGAAGCACGGGGTGAGTCTGAGGACACGGCTGGGGACCAGGCCCCCTCTCCAGCCCGCGGACAGCGGCGGGAAGGGTGTGCCAGGCCTGGGGGCTGGAGGTGGCCTCCTCCCCTCTGTCCCTTCCACACCAGGAAGGAGGCAGCCACCTGGCAAGGCCAGCGTTCCCATCTCTGGTTCCACCAATGGCAGAGCCGACCGCACAGGTAGAACTGGGGGCAGAGTGGGCTGGGGAGTCTCTCAAAAGTCAGCTGAAACCATCACTGCCATGAGGTTCAACCTCGACCACCCATCTCTCATGTCCCTCTCAAGCTCCGTGGGCTCTCTAGCCCTGCCAGCCCCCTGATGTCCTTCTGCTAGCAAACGGCCCAAGAGAGACAACAGGTATAGAAATCAAACTAACTTAAACTTAACAAAAGAAAATGAAAAAAAGGAAAGACCAGAGTGAAACGTTACAACAGCACAAAGGAAGAGCCGAGATGCTCTGGCTGGCTTCCGTCAGCTTCTTGGAGTACCATGGAAGTAAACCCTCACGCGCGTCTGTCGTCGGTAAGGCACTAGGAGGGAATGGTGTAAAGTCGAGAGTGCGGGAGCTGTGCTGGCGGCGGGCCCAGGGACACACGGGAGGGCGGCGGCCGCACACGCACCCACACGCGCTCGCTCACGCGCACACGTCTGGACCACCACATTGGTTACTTGCCTATGTCATATCACTTTTTTTTTTTTTTTGTGCAATTACACTGAGGAATAGTCTATTGGTATCGTTGGAGTTGAACACAAAGCAGAAAACAAAGAGTGTAGAGTGCTACATTCCACTAGGGTGTCGGCAATGACCAGTGAGCTCTACGCTATGTAACTAGGGCTTGGTTGGTTCCAAGAGAAAATAAACCTTCAGAAAAGAAACAAACAAACAAAAAACTCCTAAAGTTCGCAACACACATTATTAATGACATTTGAGGAATAACATTGCTTAGGGATTTATCCAGAGAGCTCGGAAAGAGAAAATGTGCCCTCTTGGGGGACTGGGGTAGAGGGGAAGAATCATCCTTCAGCCTGACCACCCCCCATCAGTCCTGATGAATGAGCCAGAACTGGGCTTTGAGGATCCCGGACCAACCCCCAAATATCAGACTCCTCTGGCCATGGCCCAAATTTCTAGAGAGCTGTTGACCCTTTTGAGTTCTGGAAAAATCCCTAATTCTTATGTTCAATAATTAAAAATCTATTGGATTTCATATCAGGTGTCCCCCAGACAGCAAATTCTTAAATGTCACTTGCTGCCATATGAAAATAATCTTTGAAAAGTTCATAAAGTTCTTCAAAAACTGGGCCCCCTCCCACTTCCAGAATCTTCTGTTGCTCTTCTCCTCCTTTCCAGTTTGGCGCAGAATGGGTTCGTGAGCTGTGTTTTTTTGTTACTGACGTTTTCTTTTTTTACCTTTTTCTTTTTAAAAATAAAAAGCATAGATTCCCCCCCCACCACCCCTCCTGAATCCCTTCCTTTTTAAAATGTTCTCTTCTCTGCTCTAAGTCCTCCCACTTCCTAGTTCAAGTTTCGTTTGTGTCCCGTCCCTGCCCCCATTCCCCCTCCCCTGCCCCGTTTGCATTTTCTGTGCGGTGTCTTCAGTATAAAAAGCCCAGCTCCCACCGAGGCCCCGCCTCCCGCCTCCTCCCCCCTCCTCCTCCCCTTTCCAGTGTTTATATGTAAGGGTACTGGTTGACCTTGGCGGGGCTCAGTGGGTATCCAGTGTAGACGGTGGAGGCTGGAGAGGCGCTGATGTAGGTCTGGTGGGCAAACTGGGCCGGATACTGACTCGGGTGGATGGTGGGCGAGGGCAGGACCCGGGGGCCCATGCTCACGGGGACCTGGTGGACGATGCTGGCCGGGTAGGCAGTGTGCTGCACGGTGTGCCGCGCCGAGCCTTGGGAGGCCACCAGGTGGGCCACGGTGCCGGTGGAGCCCAGGGCCGCGGGCGCCGTGTAGGTGTAGAGGTGGGGCTGGGTGGGGAGGTGGGCGGCGGCGGCGGCGGCAGCCAGGTGGGGGTGCACAGTGCCGTGGCTGGGGCTGTTGTGCGGGAAGGAGTACGGAGCCTGGGCCATCGTGGGGGTGATGTAGGCCTGCTGCCGTCGGTGGCTCCCGGCGCGGTCCGCGGCGATGTGCTGCTGAGCCTGGAGAAGAAGCACCAGGAGAGGGCTGTAGTGGGGGCTGGACACGCAGGGCAGGAGGGGGAAGCGAGGAGCAGAGAGGAGGGGAGGAGGGAGAGGATGCCAGAAGCGGCGGGAGTGACAGAAGATGCCTTCCCAGTCATGCTGGGAAGTAAAAATGAGAAAGGAACACTGCACCCTGCCCGGCACCCCCCAGGCTGGATGACACACAGATAAAGCCAGCTGCAGAGATAACAGGAGAGGATGTGTCTCCCAAGGATGCACTGCAGCTATGAAGTGGCAAAGGAGTCCCTCTGTAAGTGACGCCTGGTTCTCTCACCGTGAAATCTTGGTCTCTAAAATCAAGGCCCTCAGGAACGTGGCTGTCTGAGGTAGAATTGGTACAAATGCAGCAGCCTTCTCTCACCTGGGGAATCTAAGTCACGGTGACACAGACACACAGCCTCCGCGCACAGCCCAGGTGCAGTACTTCACATGACGGGTTTCTGAGGACAAGCTCCCCGTTCATCTCACCTCCGTGGCTTCGAAGGAAACAGGCCCCTGTGTCTACTTTGCAATCTAGGCCTGAGTGGACCCTTTACACGTAGGCCAGCTCTGTCCTTGGAGACTCTGCTTCCTTTACGTTCCATCTACACGTCACCTACTTTCTCCAAACCCACCGACTCGTGCCCTTGGTTTGGGCTTCGGGTGTGTGGCCTCCTTCACTGCAAGGCGTCAGTGAGCCTGACTTGGTTGCGTGGCAGGCCTGTCCCTGGTGTCCTGGCCTGACTGGGCTGGGACACAGTGCTTTACCCTGTGCTGGGCTGAGAGAGCAAGGTGTGCGCCATCCTATTTTTAAGCTCTGGCACCTTATCACTCAGCGCCTTGTAACATTAGACAGTCATTCTGCTTTGGGCCAGCTCTCCGTGAGCCAGGGATACCAACTTCCCCAAGGGTGACCCACGGAGGAAAGAAAACACCAGAGGTCACTCTGGGCGCTTCCTGCCACCACTAGAGGGACTGCAGCTCTGAGGGGAGGGTCCGCCACAGTGACCCTCTCTGAAGCTGAAGAATGGAGGGGATGAGGTGAGACAGCCATCAGGTGGGGCCTACCTGGCTGAGGTTGAGAGGCTGCTGCTGCTGGAAATGTGGTCCTGGCCGCGGCTGCCGGTAGGCGATGGCTCCAGACGAGCTCCCTGAAGAGTGACCGCTGGTGGAGGTCACGTTGCTGGAGGACTTGGACTTGTAGGAGGATGAGTGGTGACTGGTGTTGACTGTGTGCAGAGGAGAAACAGGTCACAGATCAGTCATAGGTCCTCAGCTGCCCAGAAGAAGCTGCCCCTCCAGGGGGCAGCGGTGGTCTTCCAGGAAGGAACCCATTCCTGAGACCGGCCAATCACAATCAACCTCGTCTCCCCCAGACCCAGTTAAGATTCTGCCTTGACTCTGGACTGGCCGCTGGGCTCTGGGCTGTTCCACTGGTTGGGAGCAAACCTTGCCGGCGTTTAGAATACAGTCTGGTGACCCTAAAAAGCACAAGGAGAGTCTAACAGAGGAAGGGAAGAGAGTTCTCTGCAGCTTTTCAGTGTCCCACCTAGGGTTGTAATTGGGGGCTATCTGTTGAGGTACAGAGACGCAGTGACAGATACAGCAGGATAAAGAGGAGTGCATCTCAAAAACAAGACCACATATGTCTTGGAGGAAAAAACAACTGGAATAAAATGAATAAGGTAAGGAGTTTATATAAATAAACCATTTTAGTCAATTTCTAAATTGACTGTGAATACCAGCTCCCAGCTGAGTGGGACCTGTGCCTCTAGGGGGCCAATCAGAGGACTGCCACACACAATGCAGGACATGGCTGAATCAAGTGCCACTGCCTCTTGGTGCCTCTCTAGACATCAAACATCTCTCTCCTGAGCTTTGTCTAGTACAGATAAGTGAAAACCAAGATGAAACCATCCAGTCAACATGAAAAAGGCTTTTGGCACAGAGAATCCAGACAAACCTGTGTTGTCCTCTGCAGACTCCCAAGTATAAGACTGTCCACACTTGAGAGAGTGCCCCAGAGTAGGGGTGTTCAAGAGAAGAACCACACAGAGTCTAATGTTAAGGGAGAACAGACAAGGACGTGCACAGACATCAGGAGACAGGTCTACTTCTCATGATGTTCAGCAGGAAGAATTCGGATTTCCTGAGCCCGAGCACCTTCGGGAAACACAGAAGTCTAACACGGTCTCAGTTAGGTACCCGTGATCGCTAGTGTAAAATGGGTAAATGTGGCTATTCTTGGGGGTAGAGGGTGCTAAGTATTAATATGCAGCTCACAGAATAAGGATTAGGCCTTGACGTCACTGAGTTGGATCGATTCCATCACAAATCCCAGGGTGACAAAATCAAGGCCAAAGAGGATATGCCTGAGGCTGGGGGCGGGAAGAGAGAATGCTGATTAACTGATTGGAGAGTAACGTGTAAAATACGGGCTCTACAAAGCTGTCTTCCCTCAATGCTCACCTTTGTGGTTTTCGAAGACAGAAAACTGCTGTGTTCTGCTGGGCAAGGCTGACTTTCAGCTTCCTCACCTGTCTTAAACTAGGGGGGTTGGTCTTAAAAGTTTCAGAAACTCTCGCCACAATTTTGTTGCCTCCCACAGAGTGGCGCCAGCACCATGGCCGACAAAACTCCAAGATGGAAGATTCCTACCTGGAAACCCGGCCACTCTCTCATGCATACTAGAGCTTGTTTTAAAAGGCTAAGAGAAATTTAGCACTGGCCACTTAAAAAAAAAAAAATTCCTAGGGGGGGCCTACATAAGGTCTATCCTAAACCAATTCTTATGTACCATTATCGTGCCTTTTTTTAAGGGACTATTACTGTTATAGAATTCCCCAGAGATGTCTTGGAACCAGGCACCCTTGATTTACAAAACTCATTGTCTCATCCTGTAGGTCTACAATCCCTGATCTGGAATTCCTGGGGTCAGACATTTTTGAAATTCAGAATTTCATATTTCAGAAAGGTAATTTGGTACATATGCAATATATTAGGTTACCCCCAGCGGGGCCTCAGTACCACCCTGTCATCAAAGACATGAATATTTTTGCTGCAAAACACAGAGATATTTCCCAAAGTGGCACAAATATAACTATGTCACCAATATGATTATGACAAAGGCACTATGAATAGCCTCTTGCTGGTCCAGGCCAGATTTTTTAGATTTTTTTTTTAACCACCAACTGAGTTTGCTGTAAACTTAAAATTTGGTTTTCTGAGCTTGTTTTGATTTTGGATTGCAGACAAGGGAGAAATATCTCCTTCTCTTCCGGCTCAATAAAAGGGCTGGTTTTCCTTAAAGATTTTAACAACATAGTCTTAAGAACTTTAGTGTTATCTAAGCAGGGGAGCTCTTCACAAGCCAAGCAATATGCATTTAAGGCTGCAATTTATTTTATTTTATTATTATTATTTTTATTTTTTTAGCTGAGCCATCCTGCCACCTGTTGGCAGCTCAGCTCGGGCCAGGCATCGAACTGCTGTTGCTCAGAGCTCACACTCTTGAGAGAGCTTGTAACCAACTGAGCCACTCGGCCGGCCCTAAGGCTGCAATTTAATCTGGGGAGTGTGTAGGGCCAAGGACTTGAGGGGGCGGCAAGTAAAGAGTTAAGAGGTCGATTTCCAGATTCTCAACTTTCAAATGTATCTTTTCCTAAACTGAGATCCATCCCTTCTCTTTCCCACCTTCTCTCTCACATTAAAGCTTCTCCCATTTTGCAAAAGAAAGACTTCTTTCTCACACTCCTGCATGTTAATATGGTGCATTGACTGCTGTGTGAGAAACTTAAGGGAGCCCAAATGGGATGATTCTAGAATGGACAGCTTCTGAGGGACAGCGCCTTAAGAGCAAAGCCATCTTTTCAGCAAGAAACACAGAAGGCTGTCCAGGCTTATTTTACCCGGGCTACAAATCCTTTGCAAACTCTCCACCTTATTCATCCATTCAGGAGATAACATTTAGCAGTGAGGTGGCTGTCAGAGGGAAGGTTATCGCTGCCTGGGTTGCCAACCAGGAGTGACTGCTCATTAGGCATTAAGCACATCCATGTGTTAAATGGGTTGAACCTGAAGCTTCAAGGTTTTGACAAATGTATTTAAAAGTACGTAAATAATGACACAATATACAACATGATAGGAATCATATCCTTTGCAAATACTTGAACTTAAGACTGTGTGATGGATATAGTTCTAAACAATTACTTGTGGGATATTTGAGCAGACAAGTATTGAGGGCCACTGTTCCGGGACATCCCGTCCCCTGGGGAACACGATCTGCCTTCACGTTCCTTTGGTCATTGCGAGAGACTGCTGCTTCCTGCCTAGGTCTCTACTAAAAAACTTGCCTAAGAAAGAGGGCTTTGAGAAAGAGAAGTCCTCACGCCTGGACAAACTCCCAAAGATCCCATCCTGAATTCCGCTCTCCACCCTCAGGTTGCCCTCAGGGGAGTACCTGACTCACCTATGCCTAGTGGGCCTTACCCTAGTGGGGTGGTTACCCCAAGAAGGTTCCAAGGTCTCCTGGAGCAACCTCAGGTGGCACAGACAGGATGAATGAGTAACAGCTGATGAATAATAGCTTCTCACATCTAAACAAAATCTTTCTGGCAGTCTGTACCCCTTTCCTTCTACATGATGCTATCGTGAGGGCACTGACTAGCTTGGATGGGCTGGGACGGTTTGTGGCAGAAAGCAGGATGTGCAGATTTCTTCTGGTTCATTCCCCGAATTCTTCCACTGGCGAGGCTGAACAAGGGAGGCATTGAATAGATGCTGCTAAATCTAGGGTGAGGCGATAAGTGTATCTGGAAGGTTAAGTTCTCAGCCTTTCTACTAGGGCCCAGTTTTCAGGACCAGCCTTCACAGGATGGAAGGAGTCCTTCTAATCAAGCAACGTGTGAGGAAGAAACACGCTTGCCATGACCTGTCCTCCCAACAGTGACTTCTAAGGAGATGCGAGAAGAGCTTGCTTCGCAGTCACTGACGGAGACATGGAGAAGGTTCTTCCCACACAGGCAGCACCCCTGCCCCCACCTCCCACCAGGGCCTCTTGGAAGGAGTGATGCCAGAAGTCGGCCAGGAACTCCCCACCAGGTGTCTTTCCAGATCAGTGGATAAGGGCCTAGGTGGTTTGTATTTTATATTGTCAGCCAGGTCAGAGGGAGCACCACGGTAAAGGTGGTGAGGTATTAATTATAGAATTAAAACATGAAGACGCTGCTCACACGATGTGCTGCTAAGCAGAATCCTATCTTGGCTGCTTGAACAGGATCCTTGGTAAGGATCTGCAATAACCTGGTGCTTCGCTCTCACATAACATAACCGCTAACAGCAGAAAGCAAGAAAGCCTGTCTCCAGAGACGTTCCTGGCCTGCGCAGGCCCCGAATTACCTGGCACCAGGCTGTCACATTCCACCAGCACTTCGCTGGCCTGGGTTTTCAGGGGTGGCACGATGATGGTTCGGGGGTTCCCAGTGCAGTGATTCTCCAGGCCCCCCTTGGTGTCAAAGGTGGTGGTGTGACTGGCGCGGTGCTGCACGGCGTAGGGGCTGGTGTTGCTGGAGGAGTCAGAGTACGGAGAGTCGTGGACTGTGACACAGCTGATGACGTTTTTCCTCTGCTTGGAGACAGTGCTGACAATGGACAGGGAGAAAACGCAACTGTGAGAAGCGAGACCCCAAGGCAGGAGTTCAGGGCTGGCTGTGTGAAAAGCCGCTTCAGTCGTCTGGGCAGGGCAGGGCAGCGGGGTGAGAGAGGGGGCAGGAGTGTCTCTGCCCTCGTCCCATTACCCTAATGGGCACACGCGTCACCTGTCTAACTGGTAAAGGGGGACATATGAAGACAGGAGAAAGGGCTGGAGCTGGGCCCATGGGCGCTTCTAGAAACCAGAGAGTGAGATGTTTCTGGGTGGGCCTGGCCTGTCCCCTGGCAGCAGGGCTCAGAACTGCAGGGCAAGCACCTGTGGTCCAGAGTAGGGTGGCAATGCCCTGAGCCACCCGAAGGGGACATCTGAGCCAACAGAGAGCCCAGCAAGACCCAGGCCACCTGGGTTCCCGGTTTGGGAGAACACACCTCTGGGAAGGGAGCCGCATAAGCTTAGGCCTGGGGCCTGGGAGACCCTGGGGAAGCTTAGGCAGGAGGGAATGGAACGTCCAAGAGGAAGCAGAATGCAGCGATGGGGACGGGAGTGAGGTTCTGAGAAGGCGGATTCCCACAGTGCAGCTCAGACACGCTGAGAGAGAAATTGGAGCTGAACTCGACACCCTCGCCACCTCTTTGCTGTGAGGGTGTTGTGTGGGGTGATTTTGTGGCACAGGCCACCCAGGACCTCTGAGAGTCCCCTTCTGAGGGGAGGCTCGGCCCTCGGATCAGGGAGGAGCCCACACTGCGTCTGGGTGAGGTCAGAGGGTCTCCGACGGGAGGATGCCTGTGCGAGGGCTGCCCTGGACCCTGGCCTTCACCCTGTTTCTGAAACTTTATATGCCGACAGGGAGGAACCAGCTTTGGATGGCTCTTGGCCACAGGAAATTTTTTCCCTGAGGTATTTATGTTTGTGTGGTTACTTTGAGAACCCTTTCTGTCTGCCTCCAAGCTCGGTGAGAGGCGGGTGGGATGATGGATATGAAATTCGTTACTGATTGTGAAGGTTTCAAAAACGGATTTTCATCTATTTTTGTATATTGATCATCTATTTTTAAGAAATATTGATTGCCTAAGTAAGATGGTCAGTTTCCAACTAATTTGCTAAGAGAAGGAGCTGGTATTTATAGAGGCCTAATGGGGACATAATAATCCCCGAGGTGTCTTGGCCAAGGTCACCCGGCCAGTCACAGGCCAGATTGTCTCCAAGGTCGAGCTCTGCCTCCCAAGGGCAGCAGAGAAGTGGGCAATTTCAGGAGCCCAGGCAGCCAGGCAGAAAAGGTGAGCGGAAGGAGAGCAGGGCTGCTACTCGACAAAGCGCTGGCGGGGCTGGGCGGCGAGGCTACAGGTCTGGCCCCTGCTGCTGACACCACCGGCATCGGGCTGCACAATTCCCCTAGGCTGCACATTCTGTCTCCCTGGCTCAGGGGAGAAAGGTCCCTTCTAACTGTGGCTCTGGGTAACAACACAGGCCCTGCAGCCAGATGTCCATTATCAGCATTTGCTGGTGGTGTGGCCTTGGAAAGCTATTCAACCCGAGTGACTCAGTCTCCCCATCAGTAAAACGTGGATCCTAATAGCAGCTATAGCATAGGCTTGCTTTGAGAATGAAGTTAGAAAATACGTGAAGAGTACTTTGAATAGTGTACGACCCATAGTAAGTAGTCTATAAAAGTCAGCTATTATTATTTGTATTTTACCTTATTTAACATGTGAAAACAGGTTTGCAAAAAACATATCTAGGCAAAGTAAATTACATCAAGGCACGGACTTGCTCTATGAATAAACCAGAAGATGGATATGAGAGAAATTAAAACCCATCAGTTAGATATCTTGGAGGTCTACGCTAGGTGCTCCAGGGAATTCCTGTACAAAGACATACAATCCATGTCTCTGCTCTGCTCGGGAGGAGATGAAAATCTCAGTGGGGGACTGTATAAAAACATGACAAGTTAAACAGTAAAAGCTTTAAAATAATCAGTTAAAGAGAATAACGGATGTCACAAAGCCTTCCATGATGAACTGTCAAATGATTTGAATAGATGATAATTGCTAAGAACGCAAAAGGTGAGGAGTGAGCATATATTTAGATCTCTTCCCATTAACTTTGATAAAGTAGACAAATTTTAATTACTAAAGACCTATGCTTCCCACTTATAACAGTTATGAATGCAAAACATTCATATGCTTGTTCCTCAGAAAGCTAAACTGAGCGTTTCCAGATGACCCAGCAATTCCACTCCTGGGTGTACACTTTTCAAAGGAATTGAAGGCAGGGACTCAAACAGATGCTTGTACGCCAGTGTTCACAGTAGCATTATTCCCAAGAGCCAAAAGGTGGAAAGAATCCAAGTGTCCATCAATGGATGAATGGATAAACAAATTGTGGTGTATCGACACAGTGGAGTATTATTCAGCCATAAAAGTGAATGAAGTACTGCTATACTCGCATGCTGCACTATGGATGAACCCTGGAAATGTATGCTCAGTGAAATAAACCAGACACAAAAGGGCAGATGTTGTATGATTCCACTGACATGAGGTACCCAGAATAAGGAAATTCATAGAGACAGTAAGTAGGTCAGAGGTGACCAGGGGTGGAGGAGGGAGATACAGGGAGTTACTGCTTAATGGGTACAGAGTTTGCTTGGGGTGACGGAAAAGTTCTGGAAATGGGTAGTGGTGATGGTGGTACACATTTGTGAATGTATTACTATCAATGAACTGTACACTTAAAAATAGTTAAATGGCAAAGTTTGTATTATATATATTTTACCACAATGTAGAAAATTAATGTAATACACATGAGTGAATTGTTTGGCATTTGAATTATATCTCAATTTTTAAAAAGTCCATATGCTTATTCAGAAACAAAAAAGCAAATGGGACTAGCAGGGGTGGGTGTGGGGTGGGGAGGTGGAGGTGGAGGTGTGGGGCACACGAGATTTGGCACAAGAATTAGAAAGTGGGGCATCAGGAAAAGATCCCTGAGGCTTTACGGCTGGGAGAAGGAATCCAACAGCAGCAAGGCATTGTGGGAAGCTGTGTAGTTAGCGGGGAGCCCTGGGGGGAAGGAGACCTGCCTCAGAAAGACCAAGGTAAGTGAGACCTGCAGCCGGGTCCTGTGGTGGGTGGGGCTGGGCAAAGGGAAACTGCCGTCTGTGCCTGGTCTGCTGCGTAGCAAGATGCTATTAAAGGGAACCCTGCCTCTCCTCTTCCCGCAAGATACGAAGTGGTCCCAGGACCAGGGGAAGAGGCCTGGGAGGCATGACCATACAGACCCCAGCTCCCGAGGGGATGCCAGGAGACGGCGCTGCCCTGCTCCTCACGCTCAGCTTCGGTCACCGCCAGTTCTGGGTGACTGACACAAACACACAGTGGCTCGTCTTGCCATCTCACAAAATGTAGGCGCGTTCTGTTGCAGGTGTTTGGCCTTGGGGGGGACAGGGAGTGGACCCCACATGCAGAACAGAGGCTGGCTCACAGGTGTGCCCTGGGAGCTGGGGTTCTAGTCCTGGCTCTGCTGTCCCTTTACTGGTGTGACCCTAAACATACCTCCCGCTCCCAGCTGCCATAAAATCCATTAGGGAGAATGGCATTAAAGGATCCGTTGCGAGGGTCCCTTAAAGATTTATTATTAAAGACACTTAAATTCCCTATGTAGACCCAGACGCGGCCAATTCCCGCTGACCATATCTTCCTTAGGTTCTGAGTAGTTTGGAAAATGAGTAAATTAAAACCACACACACGTACAACATTAATTTTGGCCATGCTGTCATAAAATTCAAATTGGACATATTTTGAATTCTTCACTCAAATTTGGAAACTATGGAGAAGCTTCAGATCAATGTAAGAATTTTCTGACAACTGGAATATCTGACCATACAAAGGGCCACTTCATGAACCAGTGAGCTTACTGTCACCGAAAGATGGCTTTCTGGCAAAAGTCTTGTAACAGCTGAAAGCTTGGTCCAGATGAACTCTTAAGACTTCAGGGCCACCTCCTGGTGGAAACCTAACAGGTAGTGGGGCCCACTCTTCATGGGTCCCCTCCCTTTCACTGGAGCTGGGACATCCCTACGTCTAACGAGCAAAAAGGTACCACACAGTTCAACGCTGATTTACCTCCCTTTTTGGATCTACACGTGATAGGTTTGGAAAAGGTGAATTAACTTGACAACTCTGTGTTTAATCTCTTCTGTTGTTAGAAATTTCTGTGCTCTATCTGAATATACTATGCAGGTTAGAGAACAAATGGAAAACCGCTAAGTGAGTCACTTGAAAAACGAGCACACATTTGACGTTATTACTATGGATTCTTTAGGCTCAAATGTATCGATTTGACTGGGATTCATTCCACTATGGTGTCTAATTATTATTGATCGCTTATCAATCCCATTATGAATTGGTTAATGGAAGTGAGAGCGTGACAGGAGTAGAATGAGGAATATTTGCTTCAATGGCCTCGATGGAACTCACTTCTGAATGAAGAACAAAGCCGACCGAGTTCACGACTGCATTGCGTTGTCATGGCAATAGATGATGTTCATCATTTTAAAACGGTGAAAAGAAAGAAGGCATGAAGAAGTAAAGAAATCAGCCCCAGTGGAGAAAACACGGCCACAGGATCGTACAAACCTGTGACGCCTCCCCTGCGGGGCCCTATCTGGAATGCGTTTCTGATTTCTATTTGCCAGTCTCGGTCAATTCCATTCTTCAAGACCAGGGTCAAAACTCATCTGCACCAATAAACTTTCCATGACTTACTTCACTCCTCTGATTCCATAGTCAGTGCTATATGTGAAAAATGCTATTCTTCTATTATTATGACACTGATTACTAAATCTCGGTAACATTTACCGGATGTACAACCACTGTTTGAAGTGCTTTATACGTGTTATCTCCTCTAATCCTCACAGCAGGACTATGCAGGAGAGACTATTACAACTCTCGTTTTAAGAACAAACTCCAGGTATGGAGGGCTTGGGTGACTTGCTCGCTCAAGGTCACATAGGGGCAGAGTCAGGTTTGAACTAAGAGATAGCATTTTTTTGCGTGTGTGACTAAGCATAATCTTAACTTTACCTATTTTTTAAAATTTTATTTTATTGTGATAAGATCTACCCTCCTAAAAATTTAAGTGTACAATCTGGTACCGTTGCCTACAGGTACAAAGTTGTATTGCAGATCTCTAGAATTATTCACCTTGCTTCACTGACATTTATGCTCATTGATGAGCGACTCCTCATTTCACCTGCCCACAGCCCCTGGCCGCTGAGTTTCCACTCCTAGATTCTCTGAATTTGACTATTTTAGATACCTCCTATAAGGTTTTTTGCATATTGCACAATTTCCTTCTTTTTAAGGCTGAATGGTAAGTAGTCCATTGTATATACGTGCCGCATTTCCTTTATCCATTACCTGTCCATTCATCTGATGGACACTTAGGTTGTTTCCACATCTTGGCTACTACTGCGCACAGTGCTGCAGTGAACATGGGTATACAGATATCTCTTTAAGGCCCTAATTTCAATCTTTTGGCTAAATACCCAGAAGTAGGACTGCTGGATCATATGGTAGTTCTATTTTAAACTTTTTTGTTTTCCACAGCGGCTGCACCAATTTACACTCCCATCAACACTGTGCAAGGGTTCCAATTTCCCCACATCCTGGTCAACGCTTGTTTTCCTTTATTTTTTTGGTAAAAGCCATCCTGACAGGTGTGAGGTTTTGGTTTGCATTTCACCGATCATTAGTGACGTTGAACGTTTTTTCACCTAGCTGTTGCCCACTTATAGCTTCTTTTGAGAACTGTCTGTTCAAGTCCTTAGCCCAATTTAAAATTATTAGCTCTCTTGCGATTGAATTGCCCAGAGCCTGCCCCCCCCGATTCTCAAGCCGGTGTGGAGGCTGAGACCCACAGGGGAGTAATCAGCATTTCAGGCAGTTATGGGGCTCGCCCCGGAAATAAAAGATGTTCGACTTGGGTGAGTAGCCAACGGACCATGAGGCCAGGAACTCAGCAGATCGGAATCTAGATGCTCAGGGCACAGAAGTCAGGTTTGGGGACAAGAGTGACCAGAGGCAAGGAGGGAAGCCTCCACTGTTCACAGTGACACTGATGGGCTACAGAAGCTTATAACCGAGAGAGTAGCCAAGAGGCCCCCCAGTGGGCTGCATCTGGGGGTACATGAGCGCCTCAGTACTTCTGACGAAGCTGACCACCCAGTCCAAGGGGGGACCCTCAAAGCCCCCTTTACGTTCTGAGATCCCTTTCTTCCTTGCCTCCAGTTTTCTCTTCGATCAGCCGCCCCACATGCTCTTGTCCCCATCCCACCTCTAAGCCTCTGCCCCACAACCTCATCTCACTGGAACTTGCAATCTCACTTCCTCTACTGTTTGTCCACCCCTGCCCAGACCCAAAGAGGCCTTAAAAAGTCCCCCACCCCTGCTATTTCCTCAAGCTGTTTTCCCTTTGCACCCCCGTAGTCCTCGGCTAGTTTTTATGGGACCGATGTTGTTTTGTGTTATAATGATTTGCATGTGTCTCATCTTGCTTATTACCTTGCGATCCTCCTGAGGACAGAGACTGTCCACGTTATTAATATAACACCTGCAGTTCCTAGCATAATATCCTACACTGGTGGGGCCACTAAATATGTACTGTGTTAGGTTTTATGATAACTCTGATTTCCAAGGATGAATAATCATATTCCCCTCATTTTTCTCTTATTCCAAATGGTAGCCACAATTATGGGATCACATTACACACAGTCATTTCACTATAAATAAAACAGCTACTGGCTTCTGTTTTATCTTGCTCAGACTCAAATACACTTTCCTGTCTTCTCGGGTCCTGTAACACTTTTTAAAGGCAATAGTCACTTGATCTTTCCAGAAAACACTGCCATCTCATTCTGTGAGCCTCCTGTCACAGCTGGGGACAGCTGACACCCTTCTCAATGGCCCTCTGGTCTCTGTCTGCAGCTCCTGGGATTTGGTGTTCCGTCTCCGGTACACTTCATTATCCTGGGCAGTCCCCTGCATTTTTCATTTTATGAAGCTCTGGGACTCGGTGGCCTATTGTCACTGCTGGTGGCCGCTCCTCACACTTGTGTACCTGCCCCTCAGCGCCGTCCCTGCTCTCCCCTAGGTCTCGAGTCATTTACACCGCGGTCCCCACACGCGGTCCAGCACTTCAGTGCTGTCTCTTCCCGGGCCCGTGGGGGCTGCTGCGGGAGCAGGCTGTGCTGTGGCGGTGCTCAGCGCTCTCAGCCCTGGCAGCTCTGACTGGAGAGACGGTGCCTTCGTCCTCTTTTTCCTCAGACATGCTATTCAGTTCTCTCCCCAGCACACATGTGGAGAGCCTGTGTCAATTCAAATCTCCTACTTCAAAAATGATATTCCAACCGAGTCAACTGTCGTATTTTTAAATTGCTTCTGCTTTTTTCCCAGTTGTGGAAAAAGGGCTGCGTGAGGCTGTTGGGCCCACCTGATGCCCAGTGCTACAAACTGGGCTGCTCCAAGCTGGGGGCCGGCCCAGGGCTGGGGAGCGCGAGCACTGGGGAGGATAGAACACTGGCTCCACTTAGGGCTGTTACTAAAAAGGAAGCTGAGGTCAGTCCTGGAGTAGGTAGTGGGGAGTGAAGCGCTACGCCTGGTCTCCCTGACCCTGTGGCCCCTCTGGCCCCTGGGGCATTGCTAGGACCAATTATATTCATCTCTGAGACACACTGAAGGTCAGGCCGAGCCATTAAACAGGGCTAGAGGACGCCCCCGTGAGACATATACTAGCCCTACCACGAAAACACACAACAAAACATGAGTTCATTGTAAAGATGGGCAGAGGGGTGCCCATGTAGGAGCAGCCAGAGCAAGAATGTTTTAATCACTCTATCTGTATATTTTGTAGTGATTTCAAGTGTGGGAATTTATTATCTAATCACAAGGATTTCCGATGACTACTTGGTGACATTGTATCCAATCAGCAATGAATAATTCAGGCCTAATTGCAAATGTTAAGCTTTGCGTCCAGTCCTGGGGTATGTGCTGACTGGCAGCACTAGACTGGGCCTCCCTTTCCTGGTCCTTGGTCCCAATGTGAGGAGCCAGCAGATTGGGGTCCTGAGGCCTCTAGGGGTGCAGAAGGCCAGGGGACTGACTGTTCTGGAGGGGCCAATTCCAGGGGCTCGCCAGGCAGCCCAAGCACAAACCATACTCTGCTCAAGTCTGGCTGGAAAACATCGGAAGCGGCTCTGGCACCAGGGATAATAGTCTCGCAAATATAATAAATATTTCTTCCCTCTTCTCGGGAAGCACACAGAGAATAAAATGAGTTCTTACTACTTTGGAATAAACAGTAATGCTCTCTGGGTGAAGAGCCAACTGGCAGTTTGAAAGATTGGGTTAATCAGACACAGGGAAATTTCTGATTAATTGGACAATTATTTTGAATTCTGAGAGAGCCAAAGCGATATTAGAGAAATATTCTGACCAACTGGGAATAAATTCAATCGCCTGAGGCAGAACTTTTTAAGCTTACGTGGGTTGAAATACACTGGCGTGGTGTTTTTATGGACTCAAATGCCCCAAATGTACAGAGCCTATAACTATTTTTTAAGACCAAAGTGATTCAAAATGATTTTGGCTTTGAACAATTATGGAAAATCTGTCTGACATTCCCTTGAAATCACTTTAGGACTCCAGGCTGTGGCAAAACCACAATTTAGGGACAAGGAGAGAGTGATGCTAGAATGTGGCCCGGATCCACAGATAACTGTCTCTCTGTGTGAGCCTGCCACACACACAGCACACCTGTCCTGGTCCTTTCTGGAAGTCTGAACTTGGCAAGGTCTCACCTGGTGGGGGCGTGCTTCTGTTCCTCCTCCTCATCTGTGTCGCTGCTGATGGTGATGACGCTGACCGTGGGGCTGGGGGTGTCGGGGATGACAATCGTCTGCCGCTGCCGCTCTCTGGTGGTGCTGGAGGCCCCGTCGCCCCAGCCGCACGTGACAGAGGAGCTGCAGGCTGGGCTGCTGTGCACCAGGGCGCAGCGGGGCGGTGTGTTCTCCTTCACACGCTTGGACCGCTGAGGGGAGCTGATGGCCTGAGAGGAGGACACCTCACAGGTGGAGACGTTTCTGAAACAACAAAGTCACACAGGCTCACAGAGGAAGGTCAGTCCAGCAGCGCCTTCTAAGGAGCCCAACTGTCTAGAAAGCCCAGCTTGAGGGTCAGAGCACTCAGACGTCACCTGTAACTGCGTAAGTGGGCACCTCTACAGGGCTTTCTTTTAGATAGTTGCTACACAGACGGGACAGCAGCCTGGCTTTCTCAGGGCTCTGGTGTGGCGCCATGTGCCAGCACCAGCAGGACAAAGGGAACAGTCAGGGCTCTAAGAAGGGGAGGGGTTGCGCCCCAAATGGGGCTAGTCTTGTGGGGGTAGATGTTAATGCCTAGGATTTAAGTGTGTCTGCTCCAATGCAGCCTCGTCTTCAGGGTCAAGGCCTGATTTCCTGAGCTCCACCTGGTCATCCTCCCAAACGTCCTGAGGTCTTATTTGGGAAAGGGGTGGAAGAAATCGTTATTTACCACATAAAGCTTTCATTCCCTTGCTAATGGCTGGTTTCCCATTTAATAAACTAAAGCTCTCATTTCTTAAGAGTTTCTAGGTCTGAAAGATCGAATGTTGGTGAATGTTTAGCTTTCCCTCCTTTCTCCTCTGGGAAAGGGACACGACCATGAAAGTATCTGTGTGTGTATAATTAAAAACAAAATTTTCCCCTGGATTTTGACACCTGAGCCTCACAGGAAACTTACAAGTCTGTTTCAGTTGTAATAAAAAATTGGGAAAAGTGCACGAGGAAAAGGTGTGCTTAATAGGGGCCCTTTAATCTTGACTTGGATCATCTCAAGATTCCTTGTCAAATTAGTCAATGTAGTTTCCAGTAACTTTAAGGGAAAAACACCTCATCTTTGCCCCTTCCCATCAACCCTTGCTAACTGGCTCATATCTATACAGTGAGACCATAGCCAACCTGATATGTCCTTAGAGATGCTTCCACCTGCTAGCTAAGGGGATGGCAGTAAGATGAAAGTAATTCCATAAAGGTGGATTTATTTAATTTTCTATTTGGTTGGTATCAGATATGTTACTTGTTCCTCTTGGGGGGCTGGTAATAATAAGTTTTACTGATAAAATTGTACCATTATTTACCATAAACCTATATATTTGTTATTGCTAATATGTTATAATTTTGAGATTATGTTTTTACCACGCCAGCTGTTAAAATATCTCCACTGGCATTATTAAAGGAAAGTACGCTTGGCTGCACCACCGACCAAGGGAGAACATTTTGGTTTCTCAGGCCATTTGTCTAAGGCACTGGTCTTAAAAATAGGCAAATACATCACTTTCGCTAGAATCATATTGATCTTGAAATGCACTGGCAATGAGCCTCGAAAAGCTGTATGGTGAGCAGGCAACAGGAGGGACTTGTTAACAATCTGGGAGGCGAAGGGTTCTTACTGCCCCTAGCTGGCCAAGGTGACCGATGAGGATGCTAACATCAGCCCTGGGTCAGACCAGTGTTCTGTGTACTGGACTCCCTCGCTAGACATGACAGAACAGGAGGATTGAGATGGTGGCCAATCTAATAATGACATGGGTGTGTTGTCACAGGGCTGCCAATTAAAAGCATTTTGCAGGCTTGCCACTGATCTAAGATGAATTTCCCTGAGTTGTCAGCAACACCCAAATAAGGACTCTTGAAGGATGATAGCTTGAGGGAGTCAGCTCTTGTATTAATTTCTGAATGAGAATGACAAAAGGCAGGCTTCATTTCTGGTGCATGGCTATATGAGGAAGTAGAAAACCCAACTTTGCTAGGTACTTTATATACTGGATTTTTCTTTTCCTTTTCTTTGAAAAGATTTTATTGGGGAATTGGCGAAGGGGAACAGCGCTGGGGAATCGGGGAAGGAGAAGAGACAAGTTGCTGTCCTTCTGTTCTTCAGTCTAGCTGTGGAGGACGTCTCTTCACTGGCTCATGTTGGTATTGTGATCATTGTGCTTTTCCTGGATGAGGCAATCGGTTGCGGCCATTGGTTGGCCGCTCACAGCAACTCACGGCAGCTCACGCCAGCTGCCCACCGCTCACACAGGCTGCCGGCCACTCATGGTAGCTCAAGGCAGCCCACTGCAGCCCCACTGCAGCCTACGCCGCCGCCAGTGACTCACGGCAGCACAGCTCCAGGTAGAGCTGTTGTTCACCATCTTAGCTGTAGAGGGTGCAGCGTCACTGGCCCATGTAGGATCCGAACCAGGGCCCTGCTGCTCAGAGCTCGCGCTCCCAAGCCAGCTCTTAGCCAGCGCGCCACTCGGCCAGCCCCTATACTGGACTTTTCTTACTTAATCTATTCCAAATAAGTAACTGGGTTCCTCCACCTCAGTGCCACTGGAGAGAAACATAGGGTTATTCTTTCACTGCACAGTGTTGACCTTGATTTTTTTTTTTTTTTGGTTTGGAAATCTCTATTTTTTTTCTTTTTAAATTCAGGCTTATTGTGGTACAGGAAGTCATCCTTTTGAAGTGTTTGATAAGTTTTGACAAATGTATGGTCATGTAATCCTCAGCACAATCCGGACACTGAGCGTTTTCATCCCCCTGGAAAGTTCCCTAATGCTCCTTCCCTGGCAACTCCCTCCTTTCCTACCCAAGTCCCTGGCAACTCCTGAGCTGGTGTCTGTCTCCATAGTTTTGCCTTTTCCCAAATGCCACATATATGGAATCACACAGCACGTGGCCTTGTGTGATTTTGATTTTTACGAGTTCACTGAGATAGGACTGGATTAAAAGGGAATGGCAAGATTATTGTTCTGCTGGTCTTAAAAACAGGCAAATACATCACTTTCACTAGAATTATATTGATCGTGAAACAGGATTATACTGATCTTGAAACAGGATTAACAAAGGTTATTGCTTATATTTAAGTAAGCAGCGACATGATTTACATTTCTGACCTTAGATTTCAAAAAAAGCACACGGCTACTATTTGTAAAGAAAAGATATTATGGTTTCCAAAGTGCCACTTCACAGGTGAGTCTGAGTGTCTTCCAGAGAAGTGGCAGGGGACAAACTCGCTCCAAAACCTGGCACTGAACACTGTGATTCCAGGTCCCCATCCTTAGAGAGCTGATAAGGCCGGGTGGGGGTGAGGCAAGAGGCAGGTGCACTACCTGCACAGACCTGAGGATGACTGCCTCTTTCAAACCCTGGAGCTATCCATAGAGCATTCAGCGGCCATTCCCTGTCCCACACCAGGGACTCAGAGCACGTGCTGGCACTCCCTAACACTGCAAGATTTCTTTCACTTTGGATCTCCTGAGGTTTCTCACACACAGGTTTCTCTCACCACCTACCTTGCAGAGGACTGGTGCTGCTTACTCTTCCGGGAGGAGGTGGTGCTGGTTGGCTGCTGCCGCATCACGTGGGCCACGCCCACGTTTAAAGGCTGGGCTGCCGGAAGGGTCACATGACCAGTCAACAGCGCAGGCTGCTGCATGATAGGATTGTAATGGCTGCCGTGAGCATGTGTGTTCCTGAAAGGGAAGAGGGAAAAAAAAGATCTCTAGTGGTTTTATAAACACAGGGCTTTTTTTTTTTTAAGATAAAGGTATCCACCACTCCAGTTAAAAGCCAAATTACACTCAAAAGGTAATGATCTCAATGGCCTGTGGGGTTGTTGAAGAGATGAGCCTAGTCAGGTGAGCTCATAGGGAAAGTTCCCCAGGTACAGAGAAGTCTGTGCTGTTCTGCAGGAGTGGCAGGAACACAGTTTGTTGAGGGGCGAGGCAGAGGACATTTCAAGTGGGGAGAACGCCAAGCACGCAGGCTTAGCTTAAGTTCTGGGAAGAGCAGATAAATATTCCTTCCAGTTTTTAAAGTCCCTGAACAGGGGATTGTGCTGTGTATTTTATTATAGAATTTACAAAGTGCCTTCATCCCACTCTGTGAGGTAGGCAGGCTATCTTGGTGATACCATTTTATAAATGAGGAAATCGTAGTTTATGTGAAAAAAAAAAAACAACTTTGAAGACTGGGAGCCATATGTTTTTGGTGTTAGGAAGTGTTAATATTCTTTTTTCTTTTTAGCTGAGCCATCCTGCCACCTGTTGGCAGCTCAGCGGCAGCTCAGCTCGGGCTGGGAATCAAACCTGTGACCCTGTTGCTCAGAACTCGCACTCTTGAGCGAGCTCTTAACCAACTGAGCCACTCGGGCGGCCCAGGAAGTGTTAACATGCTTTTGAATTCTCTCAGTGGCTAGCACGATGCTCAGTCATGTAGCAGCTGATCAATTAATTACATGCTTACTGAATGAACAATTAGAACTGACGGTTGACTAGACATGATAGTATAGAGTTTGTCATTAAATTAAAACTAATAACAGTCAGACATGTTGATAGAAATACTGGCAGCCGTTATCCTGAAGCTGGGTTATGTTTCAAAAGTTCTTATGATCTGGGTTGTATAGAATTCAAAGGCTTGTTTTCCCACTGAAATTTTAAAAATGGTGATTCATTCAAAGACGTGCCCATAAAAGCCCACTTTATACATTTAAAAAAGCTATAGGAGAATTTCTTTGAATTTAAAATATATTATACAATTTATCTTTGCAACTTGGGGAACAGGATGAATAGGACAAAAAGAAAGAGAGTGGGGCTGTGGGAAAGAGCCTATATATTCTTTTTACTAGTCAGAAAATTAAACAGAGGAATGGAGGAAGCTGCAGCTGAGGCCTGGCTGGGGGCTTAGAGCTCTACCCCTCTACGTTTCACTGAGAGCGCTTCATTCATAAGTTTTTTAGGTCAGAAAAGGAACTGCGGGGGAGGCCCCATAGTCGTTACAGAGCCTGTCGGAGGGTGAGAGGTATGACCTACCTTGATGTTTGGGCTGAATGAGAGCCCAAACTGTCTCTCATGAGGAGAGGGAAGCTGGGGGCAACTTGGGGGGTTGCCATTTGGTTCTGCGCTGGTGAAGACGGGCATTATGGTGGTGCTGGGATGGGGTGGATGGAGGTACATGGCAAAGTGGAATTGGCTATAGAAACAAGCGAGCAATGTGTGGGCAAGGAAGTCAGCGAGCGGGATGGGTGAGTTCTGGAAACAGACGCAGGGGGTATGATGTGCTGGTGGCTGTCAGCTGGATGCCGCTGGGGTCTGCGGAAAGTGGCCTTCAGTCTATAGGATATGACTATTAACTGAAGAGCCCAGTCAGCAAACCAATCAGAGCTTGCCATTCGAAACAAACCCCATCTGTCACGCCTTTCCCTGGGAGAGCTGAGAAGCCTCCAGCGTGCCCGCGTCTCAAAACACCTTGAGAACACTTTCTAGGATTTCTGAGGAGCTTCGGGGACTCTTTTTTGCATTTTTTCACTGGTGACAAATCTTTGTTTTTGGGGAGTGGAATTTAATTCTGATAAATAATAAAAAATCATCTGGAGCCAAGTTCAGTGAATGACAGTGGTGATTAAATGATGCAACTGAATTTTGGGTTGAAAGTGACAACTGACCATAAAGTTAATGGAGCTGATTTTCTTGTTTTCTGGTACATTTATTTAAAAATTACCTCTCCTTACACTGTAGTCTTAGTCCACATAACACTGTTTTTAATTTAAAAAGCTTTCTACAAATCGGGGAATTGGGGTACAGGCCAGTCTGGCAGTTCTGTAGGTCAGCGGTGGACATGCCTCCCACCCTAGACACGCCTCTTCTCCTGCTTACCTCCAGTCGGCCAGTTGCTGGGTGCCCGCCATGGTCTCAGGAATCACAGCTGCATGCTGCACTGACGTGTGGGTGGCCACTCCAGTCAGCTGCTGCCACGCCGGGGGAAGCAGGATCTGCTGGGTCCCACTTGGCCAGGCCTGCTGTAGAACACAGGACGTCTGCAATCATCATGTTTGTTGATCACATGATCAGTTTGCATGAGGCGAGCACTTATTCTGTGCTCAACTCTGTGATGGGTGTGAAAGACCTGGCTTTTGGCCTCAAAAACTAAGTTAAGGGGAGATATAATGAACATATATGAACTACACAGAAGACAATACGTACATGGGCAACGAGTTGCATGGAAGGGATTCATTAACACAATTCTGACATCACCAAATTATGTGGTACTTGCCTGCATCTGAGAGCAAGCACATGTGAAGGAGAATTCTTAGCGAGGTCCTTAAGCTTAACTGAGAATTACCTTGATCTCTCAAAGCAAAATTGAAAGCTAGAAAGCCACAGCTTGATTATTCTTAAGTATTAAGATTTTTCTAAGAAATCTAAA